TGGTACAGATAAGAGCTCTGGACAAATAGAATTCAGGACAGGAACTCAAACCCTTGGGAATAGTCATGGGAGTATCGATATCATGAGGGTAGTGGGATGGTAGGAGGCAGGGGAGAGGGGGAGAAGGGAGAATTACAAGGTTGGGTATATAGCTGCCCCCCCAGGGGGATAAATAACAGAAAGGTGGGTAAAGGGAAACAATATACAGTGTAAGACATGAAATAGCAACAACAATATATAATTGATCAAGGTTTCACAAGGGTGGAAGGGTGGGGAAGGGAGTAGAAAAAAGAGGAGCTGATACCAAGGGCTCAAGTAGAAAGAACTTGCTTTAGAAATGTTGATGGCAGCATATGTACAAGTGTGCTTAATACCATTGAATGATGGATTGTTATAAGATTTGTAATAGCCCCCTAATAAAATGATTAAATTTTAAAAATGACAAATTAATAAATAGAGAAAAATAAAGAATTCTTTGTGGTAGATCGTGGCTGCAGCCCAGGTTCCCACCACCTGAGTCATCCAAACCTCAGTTTATGAACTCAACTTAAGATTTTGCCATGGCATTTTAAAAATCAAACTACAAAATTCTTTATGCATTAAAGAATCTTCATCCTAACCCTCAACTAATCTCTCCTAATAACTTTGCCAACAGAGCCCTGGTGGCATAGTGGGTTAGCCATTGACTGGCTAATCACAAGGTCAGCAGTTCAAAATCACCAGCTGCTCCAAGGAAGAATCATGAGGCTTTCTACTCACAAGGGCAGTTCTATCGGATCCGTGAAGTCACTATGATCCAGAATCTATTTAATGGCAATGTGTTTTAATTGGGGGGTTTTTTGGTGGGGGATAGTTTTTTAATAACTTTGCCATGGGCAATAAGCAGTCCACATCCAAAGACAATGTAGTTCATAAGGAACCAAGAACCCATAAGTGAGAATCCACAAAGAACATCAGAAATAAATCGTTCAGATATTGGTATTAACAGGTATAATTCACTTTGTATAAGCTATGTTTTCTATGTTTAAGTAAATAAAGAACAAACTTTAAAGTATCTGTAGCCATCTGTAAACAATACAAAGCAATACAGATTTGAGAAGAGACCAAATGCAACCTTTAGATATTTAAAAAAATAATAAATGTAACTTACTTGTCAATGTAATGGTTAACTTAAAAGCAGATTTAATTCAGCTAGGGAGGAAATTAGCAAATTTGTAAAATTATTCAGAATATAAAGCAGAGAGGAAAATAATGGAAATCACATTTTTAAATATCCATAAAAGGAGTAGAGTGGTAAAAAGAAAAGGTTTAACGTACATTTGATCAAAATTCCATAAGAAAAGAAAAGTGAGAATGAGGCAGAGGTAATCATTGAGGAAAAAAAGAAGGAAAATTTGTTAAGAATTTTGCAGAAATGGTAAGACATCAATGTACAATTCAAGATCAGCAAAACTCACGCAAGATAAGGGAGAATACATTCACACCATATCGTAGGGAAAGCCTGGGACATGGAGGACAAAATTAAAGTCATAAAAGCAGGCAGATTTTAGGAGAGAAACATTTCCTTGCAAGGAATAACAAATAAACTTCCCAACATCAACAAGGGAAGAGAGGAGATCGTGGAACGCCATCTCAGGTATTCTGGAGGAGCATAATTGCCAAAGAACTTTATCCACAAAAAATATTAAACGCCTCTCTCAAGAACGAGAATGAAATGCAGCATTTTTCAGAAAAACTCACACAGAGCACATCACCAGCAGGCCCCTCTCGGATCTGACAGTCTGTACATGAGGCAGGAGGGAAATAATCTCCAAGAAGAAGGAGTGGATGCATAGGAAGTGGCAGCCATGTACGTCTAAATATACGCCTCGTGTCATATTGAAAAATAAGGATTTGTGTGATTCAAAAATTGGTAGGTTTGAAAGAGACAGCGACAGTCAGGTGCATCACAGGCGGGAGAAAGGTTCAAGTGCAGTGCTGTCCTCATCTGATGGAGAAGCAGGGCAGGTCCGAGAAACTCTGTTCTGCAGAAAGTTAAGGTCACTCGTTACGGCTTCTTGTAAAGCCACTAATATCATGAAAACGGATCGAATACTTTCCAAACTAGTACCGAGGGGAAAGCTGCATTGTACTGAGGAGCCAATGCATTTAAGAGGAGACAAGGATGGAAAGAAAGAAGCACTGACCCAGCAGGATAGCAATCCGGTCAGACAACACACACGCGTGCTACACCGCTTCGAGAATGAATCACGGGCAGGCACATGGGCAAGCAGGTCCAGCTCACAGATACAGGATCGAGGGACTGGAGATTTTAACGTGACACCGAATATGACTCTGCTGCGACATTTGAAGGCGGGCTAAATAGCAAAGCATCGATGGCCAAACTGCAAGGAAGCGGGCGTGCTGGTGATGTGCTCCCTGTGTTAGTTTTTCTGAAAAATGCTGTATTTCTTTCTCTTTCTTGAGAGAGGTGTTGACTCTTTTGGAATCAGATGAGATGAAAAGGTGGGTTTCTGGGAGAAAGGCACTGTTCAAATCCTGAGTCCAAAAGATGTTCAAGTTTGTATGCACATGTCCAAAGCAGGGTGTTTGCTTTCTAATGGCCCATCAAGCTGCATTTGAGCATACATTTTTATATGTGTGTGTTACTTAAAAATAAATGTTTAAAACAAAGTTAGCTAAGTAGTGGGCTTGCTTTGCCTCATCTGTCCCTTCAACCGGGTGTGTTTCTTCTTTCCCTCCACAGACCGTTGCCCACGGGCTCCTCCTTGTCTCCAGCTTCCTGATGTACTTTGTGGTATCGCTCGTGTACAACGCCACCTGTGTCACATGTAACGGTCCCACCAACCCCTACTGGGTGCTGCAAGGCCAGCTGTCAGAGCCCACGTTCTACCTCGTCTGTGTCCTCACACCCGTCGTGGCCCTTCTCCCGAGGTTTGAGCGTGGGGCTGGGTTTTCTCCCTGGCTGATCAATCTCTCCTTTATGAAACATTTTCTGAAGAGTCAGGAGTTTGACTCCCGCAGAGATCCTTAAGGCTATGGTTAGAGATAGCGTGTGAGACCAGAAAGACTTAACTCGGATGCAAGTCGCAAGGACTCTGGTCCTACGTCAACCTCGGGATCTCAGTCATCAAATCAGCCGTGGTCTCAGTTGCTCAGTTGCCTGCCTGTCTAACATGGCAGTAGTCTTTCCTACTCTCCTGCCTTATAAGTGTTGTGGGATTAAGAGTCATTTTGAAAAGGGTGTTGGTTATTTATAGTGAGCTCAGGGGTCTCAGACTCAAATGACCACATAGACAAGCAAATAACTGTAGCAAGCAAGCAGAGTGCAGCCATGGGTGACAGCTTTACCCTATCATAGCCATAGGCACCCAGATGGCATGGGGTACATGTTGGGCTGCTAACCCCAAAGTCAGCAGTTCAAAACCACCAGACAGATGAGGCTTTCTACTCTTGAAAGGACTGACAGTCTTGGAAACCCACAGGGGCAGTTCTAATCTTTCCTGCGGGGTCACTATGAGTCAGAATTGATTGACGGCGGTGAGTTTGGGATTTTGTGGGGGGTCATTGCCACGGGAAAGATCAAATCTAGTCTGCCCGAGCTCCGATTTTTCTCAGAAGTTCAATATGAAATCTCCGACTTTTCAATATTGCCCAAATATATTTTTAAATGAAAAGGTTAAAATCTCTGTGAGCCAAATAAATCATCTTCATGCCCAGGGACTATTCCTGACACTTCCTCTACCTTGGCCTTTTCTAGAAAAAATGGCAAAGCAATAAAAATAATGCCTGGCTTCTTGGAACACATTTTCCCATCATCTATAGGTTTGGTTGTGGCCATTCTTTCGAAGTTAGATCTATGGTTCTAGTCCCTCCTGCTCAATGGATAGCTGTACTCCCAAGAGGCTAAGGATCTGTCCACAAGCCCCATATTAATCACAATGGGAGCTGGATTCTCCAAACTAAGAGGGTAATCTATAGCAGTAGTTCTCAACCTTCCTCATGCCGCAACCCTTTCATACAGTTCTTCAGGTTGTGGTGACCCCCACCCCAACCATAAAATTATTTTCATTGCTACTTCACAACTGTAATTTTGCTACTGTTATGAATTGGGCGACCCCTGTGAAAAGGTCTTTGACCCCCAAGAGGTCATGACCCAAGGTTGAGAACCGCTGATCTACAGCATGTACCCATTGGCAAGAGTCTTCTTTAGTCCCCAGAATCTCACTACTTTGACCTTTGAAATGCAGCCCTCTTATTGGTTTAGCCTACAGTCAGTAGGCCATAGCAACATAGAACTTTGTCTCTACCTATGGAGGGCCATCCTCAGGCCATGCTTCCACTAATAAATGTAACAGTTTACTTCACCTAGTTCTCTCTCCTTTTCCCCTGGTAGCATAGTAGTTACTCTTTGGGCTGCTAACTGCAAGGTCAGCAGTTCAAAACCACCAGCCACTCCAAGGGGGAAAGATGGGTCTTTCTACTCCTGAAAAGTTACAACCTCAAAAATTCACATGGGCAGTTCTACCCTGTCCTGTAAGGTCACTATGAGTCAGTGTATTAGTCTAGGTACTTTGGAGAAACAAATCCACAGCGACTCATGTATAAGAGAGAGTTTTATGTAAAGAAAATATGCATCACGAAAACATCCCAACCCAATGCTGCCCAAGCCCACAAGTCCAACATTAACCCATTAACCCAACACCAGTCCACAAAGTCTCCACCTCACAAAACAGAGGCAATGATGCCGACTGCAAGAGGAAAGCTGAGTCAGTGAACGAACAAGCATCTCAGCACTAGCAGGGGTTTCCACACGGCTGCTCCAGCACCCAGGGCTGCATCGGGATAGGTCCATGTAGCTTCTCCTTGGGGATGTCTTGTAGGAAGTCAATCTTGCAAGCTGAAGCAGGGAACTGCTAAGGCAGCTGCGCCCAGTACAACCATCACAAAACAAGAGACTCGAGAACTAGAAAGGTGAGGCTCACCATCCATTTATCCCTCCGCCTTTCAATTAGCCCCACATGTGATTATCGGCCAGGCTGGCACAATTAACTAACTCAGTCAGCATCAAATCAATGGCGCTGAGTTTGGTTGGGTTGGGTTGGGTTTGAAGAAGTCACATGAGAAACTTGACCTCTGATGTTTCAGGCTGCAGATACCAACGTGGCTAATACCATTAGAGCAGTGGTTCTCAACCTTCCTAATGCTGCAGCCCTTTAATACAGTTCCTCATGTTGTGGAGACCCCCCCAACCATAAAATTATTTTCGTTGCTACTTCATAAATGTAATTCTACTACTGTTATGAATTGGGCGACCCCTGTGAAAGGGTCATTCAACCCCTAAGGAGTCGTGACCCTCAGGTTGAGAACTGCTGCATTAGAGAGAGTGAATTCCACAAATGTTCTTGAGTTCTAGGTATGGGCTGTGTGCATGGTCTCCCTACTTGGACCATACCAATGTCCACAGCCTTAACTTCCCTAGTTTGCTCAGACCTGGGGCGCCATCACCAAACTTCTTGTACTTCTGTCAAGAATTGATCCCTTCTCACCTTACTGCTGGTGCTCATTCTGTTTCTTCTGCTTAGAATGCCCTCGACTTTACTTTCCCAGGGCAAACCTTTTCACGCTTTGTAGCAGTTCAGGCATAACCAGTTCCCAAAGCCTTCTGTGACTTCTCCTGCCCTCCTCGGGCTGACACTGAGTCCTCTCTCTCATGTGTCCTTAGCACCTGGGTGTGTTTCTGCTGTTGCCATTATCACAGTTATGAGTGACCTGTGTGTACCTGTCTGACCATTAACTCTTTGAGAAAAAGGAGCTCCCTCATCCTTCTATTCCTGACACCTACAACCACTCCTGCCACCTGGTCTGCTCTTAGAGATTAAAGAGTAATGGGTGCTAAAGGAACAAAAAACGAAACAGGTTCTGGCTCTCCAGAATCCTGTAGTCCCATGAATGATTCAGACCTAGGTTTGACCATAATATAAGGTGAGAGTGGCCCGGCTTAATCAAGTACATTGTGACTAGAATATAGAGTGAGAAGCAATTAAGAACAAACCTCAGGCCTCGGGGGACATGTTCCCCACCCCCTTTTCAGCTCATTACCATTGAGAAAGGCCATGAAGATCATGATCTCATTGGGAAATGACATCAAACGTGTGGCGAAGTATTTTTTGTCCCCATTTTTAGAGTTAAACAAGGTTGTGGTAACCACTGGCTACGACAGCTCTGTTGTTCTGTATTTTTCTTGAAGATGGGGAACGGGAACATGTCAAGCCTCACATTCAATGTGTTAACGGTTTCTTGTGAGCCAGGTGAAGGTTTCTAGAGCTCGGCATCAGTTTTGCCTTCAACAGCTCAGACCTGTTGTGTTCCAGCTCATCTCTTGCAACCCTTCAATGTACCATTGCTTCTCTCTCTTCCTTTCTGGGTTTCTTGTTTCCATTCCTCCTCCTTTCCCAAAACTCTGTACTTTGTCCTGGGGTAAATGCCGCCCTTTCGATCTTAAATAAACCCCACATTCTTATATCAGCCAGAACGAAAGTAGTAACGTGAATGGTGCTGGCGTTGGCTGCCATACACAACCCCAGAGTCCTGGGGAACCCACACACGCAGTAAGGAGTCACTGCCTGGCCCTGTACCATTCCCATGACTCCAACACCAACTGAGATTTCCTTGGCTAGATAACCAGGAGGACTTCCTTCATCTGTCTCAATCAAGAAGGCCACTAAAGCATGATAGTAGCATGCAAGTCTTGAATGAATGTGATTGCACATGAGGTACATTGTGGGAATTAAACCCGTCTTCCACATAGAAGGTGAGAATTCTAACACTAACCCACCAGTAAATCGCTCCATAACCAAACCACCAGGGGATCACTTCATAAACTAAAAATTCACTGTCATAGTGACCTGAGAGGTCAAAGTAGAACTGTCCTTATGGATTTCTGAAACTGCATCTTTAGCTCACAGAGCAGCTGGTGCTTTTGAACTGCATACCTTGCGTTTAGCAGCCCAACACATAACCACTATGCCACCAGGGCTCCATTGCCTTATAGCACCTTTATAAGACTCCTTAAAAAGTATAGAAAGTCTGTTTATACAGTGCCTTGAAAAGACAGGCATTCAACTTTTCCACGTACAAAACAGATGGAAGGGCAGGTTAGACAAAGCCAGCAAATATTTACTTACTAGTTACCATATTGCATAAGTTAAATCTATACTTAGTCTCTATGATCATCATAAAGTTGAATTTCTGTTTACTGAGAAAAGCAAAGAGATTTTCTGATAGTGAAAGGATTGTTTAAAAGTTCTTAGAATGGTTGACTCATAACCTTAAAATAATATTTGTTACAGAAATCTCCATGATAGAATGTTTGCTATAGAGAACTGTATTTGTTCGCTTAAAGTACTTAAACTAAATTTACTGTGAACTACTATTTACCATAAGGAAGATTGATTTCACTCACCAGGCTTGTGATAATTAGCCCACTAGCAATGACCTCACTAATCTTAGTCTAATTAATTCATCCAATAAAAGAGGACTTTGCACTTTCTTTAAAACCAGGAACCTGGATCCACATAAATTATATTAGAGATAAAACAAAAGTATCTAACAGACTAGCCTTCATACACAATGCAGCAACCTGTTTTGGTATAACAAAAGGGATTAGTCCCTGAACAATTTTCCTCCAATTTCCTGGATCCAACTTGGCCTTGGTCTTCACCTGTGTTTTCAGTGGCTCTTTCTCTGTCTCCTTTATTGGCTTATGGGTCAGTCCTAGATTGTCTTCCAATTTTATATTTTTTCTGTAGCATAGAAATCACGAGTAGGGATTTAAATATTTTAAGGGACAAATCTCAGTTGTAATTCCCTAGCCCAGACCTCTGTTCTGAATTCTTGATACATTGCTCTAGCTACCTTTTCACCACCTCTACTTGGACATGTTGAGTTGCAGGTGGAAAGGCGCATCTATACCTTGACTCATGGCTTCACCCTCACTCCATCACCACCATTCAAGAACCCTAAGTCTCTCACAGAGACTCCTTCAGTAAATGCTACTACTCAGAATCACGGCAGAATCCTTGGAGTTCTGCTGCACAATACCGACTACTTCATACCCACAGCTAGCCTATCACCAAGTCCTGACAATTCTACTTGCTTTGTATTTCTCAACTCCATCTACTATTCTCACCTATACAACTACCACCACGATATAGGCTCTGACACTTTCACCCCTGTTGTTCTTGTCAGACACCATCAAATGGGTTCCAGCCCATAGCGACCCCGTGCACAATGAAAGGAAACACTGATGATCCAGTCCTGCCCCATCCTCACAATTGCTCCTGTGCTTGAGCCCATTGTTGCAGCCACTGTGTCATTCCATTGGTTGAAGGCCTTCCTCTATTTCACTTCCCCTCTACAAGCATTCTCTAGTAGTTTTCCTGTTGTGTTTTATTCTGCTCCATTATCGTTGCATCAAAATTAATTGTGTTGCCCATTCAGAACCTCACAAGGGCTTTCCACAGTGTCTAAAAGAAAGGATGGAAATCAAAACATAGCTAGCTCTGCTCTGGCTCTGCTGGCCCTTCTGTCTCCTATGTCCACACTCTGTCCTCACTCTCCACACATCAGGCACCCTGGTAAGCTTTCAGTCATCACTCCCTTCAGCTGATCACCCCTGTGGGTCCCTCAGTCATCAGTTTAAATGTGCCTTCCTCAGGGAAGATCTCCCAGGCCAGATCAGGTGCTGACACTCACACTGCTCCATACATTGACAATTGGATTCACATGCTACATGAGAACAAGAACCCTGTCTGTGTTGTTCACAGCTTAATCCCTGGGGCCAGGTCTATAATAGGGACCTGGTGAGTATTTTGAGTAACTTAATAGAGGAGGAAATGTTTAAGCTGAGAAAACTTCAGTTTCCAGGCAAGCTATTAAATATTTCTTGAAAAAAAAATATTTCCTGAAATGCAAGCAGAGCCCCTTATACTCCTCTCTGAGCAAGAGAAGGTCGCCTGGGTAAAAGTCCATCTGACTCTGCGGCACTGACAATAGTCTCAGAGCCCCCTTGTCTTGTTGCTTTCAACATAGTGGAAGGGTGGGAGCCTCTGCTTGGATGGATGCATGGATGGATGGATGGATGGATGGATGGATGGATGGATGGATGGATGGATGGATGGATGGATAGATGGATGGATAAGTTGAACAAACCCCTAGGAGTAATCTAGAACAATTGGTTTACTTCTTAAATTTTGAAACTGTGACCCAGAGAGAGGTTGAGCATTGCTCAGTGTCACAAAACTATCTGCTTTCCCCCATATACCATATCGTTTTATTCACTTTGTCATCCCTTCCCTTTCTTAACCGTAGAATAGGGAGAAAATTCTAGGTATTGATAGTATCTAAGAGTCTTCTACAGGCTACCGGCAGCTCAGCTGGGGGAGGAACCCTCGCGTAGTTCTCAGGGAGTCCGTGGGGGACTGCTCAGCTTCTTCAAGTGGAAAACAGTGAGAAGAGAGTGACCCTGTGTGGTCAGCTTGCCCATGGAGTCAAGAATACTTAAGTACTTAGAAGCGACTTGGAGAGTCTCACGTTCCACAAAGGGTAAATCTGCCTAAGTAATGTGGCTCTGAAACAGAATGGCCTCTCTCCTGTCTGATAGAGAAAGGCAAAGCTGCTGGCTCCAGACTGCTAGGTTCCAACCAGAACTCAACCCCCGTGTGGCTTAGGACAAATCACTGAGTCTCTAAGGACCTCCGTTCCCTCATCTATAAAACGGAGAAACAAAAGTGTCGATGGGGGGAATAACATGGTCAATAATATGTCTGATACTTAAAATAGTCTGGCACTTAATAAATGCTGCATACGTGCTAGCTGTGGTATTTCATTGCTGCTGTTGTGCTGCGGCTTCTGCTGCTGTCTTTGAACTCGCCGGTCCCAGAGGGCCCCATGCACAGATTTGATGATCATCAGCCAGAGGGTCCTACCCCGGGGGAGGCGTTGGTTTCTAGTGGTTTTGTGCATGCAGAAATCCTAGCGGTTCAGAGAAATCAGAAACTATGTTTATTCTGTCATTTCCCATCAGGTACTTTTTCCTGTCTGTACAAGGAACCTACGGGAAGTCTCTGATCACAAAAGCTCAGAAAATTGACAAACTCCCCAAGGACAAGAGGGACTTGGAAATCCAGAGTTGGAGAAACAAACAGAGGCCAGCCCCTGTCCCCGGAGGGGCTCAGCCCATCCTCCAACCAGGGCCACCTGTCCCAGCACAGGACCTCAAAGCCGATGTGCCGAAGAGCTCACTTCCACCTCAGCAGAAGCTCATGAAAGACGGGGCGCTCCCTGGGGAGGGCTGCGGCAGAGCCCACAGGATGGAGGACCCCCCATCAGGGACGTCCTCGGTCCAGTTCTCCTCCAGAAATCACCTTCTGGAACCGGGGAGGGAAGTAGCTCACGGACACTGCTCAACTAGACCAACGAACGTGCCTGCAAGCAGGGGCAGCCACTGTAGATCCCAGAGCGCCCGGACCATCTGAGGGGCCTGCAGAAGTCTCTGCCAACCTGGAGAGGCTGCCCGATCACTGACCCTAGAACCCTTCATCTCCATGGAGTCAAGAATATGCAGCCTTCCTCTCGTTTCTCCACCAGACTTCCCTTCCTCAGAAGAAGTACTGGTCCCAAGGGGCTTGGCCAAAAAAGGACCAGCACACCCTCAGCCGTCAGTTGTCTCCCACTGTCAGGTGGTACACACAGTGGTTTGTAGAAGGGTGTCCGTCACACTGAAGGGCTCAAACATTCCAGCCCAGTCAAGACATCCCTCCCACCCTGTAGATAAGTACAGCCTCGGGCCTCATGCACATGGAGCCCTGTAGCCAAAAGGGCAGTGGCTTGAACCCTCCAGTCTCTCTGCAGAGAGATACATGACGGACTGCTTTCATGAAGATTAACAGCCTTGGGGCAAGTTCTACTCTATCTATTCATTATAAGTCTCAATCGACTCAAGGGCAGTGGGTTTTTAGATGGATAAGTCATATAACCGCAATGTATGTTTCCAAGATTCTGAGCAGTCTCGTCATCCCAGGCAATACGAGTCTATGGAAGTTTCTAAGTTGTCAAAGCATCAGCACCCTTCTCAATGCCAAGAGACAACTCTGCTATATGGATTGCATTGAGGGGGGCTGTGCCGAGGTTAAGAGCGCTTCCATACTCACAGAGGTGGGTCTACTTTTTGCCTTTGAGTCGAGGGAAAACCACTTTTGAACTAGATTTGGACCCAGTGCCGCAGACGCATCTGTGGCTGGGGGAAAGGCCAGCAGAAGGAGCATGCAGAAGGAAACAAGACACTGAAACCCTATGTTGGCCCGCAGACAATGTGCCCCACCGTCTAGGGCAGGGGTTCTCAAACTACGGCCCGCGGGCCATATGTGGCCCACCGAGGACATTTATCCGGCCCACCGGGTGTTATTGCCCCATTTGTTTTTTTACTTCAAAATACGATATCTGCAGTTGCATAGGAATTTGTTCATATATTTTTTTAAGCTATAGTCTGGCCCTCCAACGGTCTGAGGGACAGTGACCTGACCCCCTGTTTTAAAAGTTTGAGGACCCCTGACTAGGGAATCTGTCAAGAGGACATGCAGAGCACTCTTTTTAAAAATTTTGTTTCATTTCTTTTAAAATAAAATTACCCATCCTAATTCAGCTTGTGAAACAAGAAAACGCTAATTTGGGAGATCTTAGCACATCTGCACCCAGAATAGACCCAGATGACAGAGCACCTCTGAGTCCAAACAATGGCATCCGAAATAGTAAGGTTAGCATGAAACTCCATTAAGTTAACGAACCCCAAAATACCACCACCTGGGAGACACTAGTGTATGTGTCAGTTAAATTAAAGAGAATCACAAGGAAAAGAAGTTGTTAATAAGACTTCTTATCCCAAGAGGTCAAAAATAAAGGAGCCCAAAAGCATTTAAATAATATCATGAGCCTTGAAACCAGATCTAAAACATTCCGATCTGGATAGAACTGCCCTGACGCCCAGGCTTGACAAAAGGACCAAGTCAGAACTTCATGTTGCTGTTCTTAGGTTCCACGGACTCTGTTCCAGCTCAAAGCCACACTTTGTAAAGCACACGAAACCCTGCCCAGCCCTGCGCCATCCTCACAGCCGGTGCTATGTGCTGGCCCATTGTTACCTCCACAGTGTCAGTCCCATGACAGTCACTCGATTTTGCTGATGCTCTACCAAACATGTTCTCCAAAGACCGTTCCCTCCTGATAGTATGCCCACGGTCCATGAGACAAAGGGACCACTGTCCTCGATTCTGGGGAGCCTGTGAGCTGTACTTCTTCCAGGACAGATGTGTTTGTCCTTCTGAGAGTCCGTGGTGTATTCAACAATCCTGGCCAATACCATCATCCAGTGCACCAAATCTTCAGCCTTTCTTACTCATTGTCCAGCTTCACCTGGCATGTAAACCTTAGAAGTACCACGACTTGAGTTAAGCACACCTTAAGCCTCCAAGTGACATTTTTGCTTTTGAACACGTTAAAAAGGTCTTTGGCAACAGATTGACTGAGTGCTGTGAAGCCATTTGATCTTGTCTACAGCATCCGTAGCACTGATTTGATTGTGAGTCCAAATAAAATGAAATCCTTGACAACTTCAGTAGGTCCCCTATTCGTCATGATGTTGTTTCCTGTTCCAGTGGTGCGGAGTTTTGCTTTCTTTATGTTGAAGTGCAATCCATACTGAAGGCTGTAGACTTGACTTTCATCCCGAAGATCTTCTTGTCATTGTTAGCAAGGGATTTCAGATTGTTAATGAGCCTTCTTCCCATCCTAATGCTGTATTCTCCTCCATGTAGTCCAGCGTCTTGAATTATTTGCTCAACAGACAGATTGAAAATGTGTGGTGAAAGGACACAACCCTGACACACACTTTCCTGATTTTAAACTATCCAGTATTTTCTTGTTTTGTTCAAGCAATTAGTTCTTGGTCTATGCACAAATTACGAATGAGCACAGCTGTCTGGACTCCCCATTCTTTTCAAGTCTGTCCATTATTTTTAATGATCCACACAGTCATATGCCTTTGCATAATCAATAAAACACAAATAAACATCTTTCAAGAATTTCCTGATTTTATTCAAGATCCATCTGATGTCTGCAATGATATTCTTTATTCCATATCCTCTTCTGAATCCAGCTTGAATTTTTGGCAGTTCCCTGATTTCTTCATTATTTTCTGGAAAAATTTACTTGTATGTGATATTGTTTAATAATGTCCTCATTTTATTGGATTACTTTTATTTAGAATGGGCACAAAGATGGATCTCTTCCAGTAAATTGACCAGATAGCTATCTTCCAAGTTTCTTGACATAAATAACTTTCAGGGTTGCATCTGTCAGAACATCTCAAGTGATAATCGCTTTATTCCTGAAACCTTACTTGTCACCAATGCCTTCAGTGAATCCTGAACGCCTTTCAATGCGACCAGTTCTTAAGCATATACTACCTTCTGAAACGGTTCATATGTCAATCTATTCTTTTTAGTACAATGTGTACTCTTCCATCTTCTTCTGATGCTTCTTACATCGTTCAATATTTTGCCCATAGGATCCTTCGATATTGAAGCGCAAGCCTTGAAGAACGTCCTTCCCTTCTGGTTTTCTGACTCTAAGCCTTTGCATGTGTCTTTATAATATTTTACTTTGTCTTATTGAGCAGCTCTTTGAAATCCATTCAGCTCTTTCCTCCCTAATTTCTTCCATTTGCTTTAGTGACCCTACTTTCAAAAGCAAGGTTCAGGGTCTCCTCTGACATCCATTTTGATCTTTTTGTTGTGTTTTCTACCTTTTTAACCACCTTTTCCTTTTTTCAGGTGTAATATCCATGGTGTCATCCCACACTTTTTCTGTTGATCAGTCATTAGTACTCAGTGCATCAAATCGACTCTTGAGATGCTCCTTAAATTCTCTATACTCAAAGTTGTCCTTTGGTTCTTATAGACTTGTTTCAGTTTTCCTCAACAGCAACTTAAATTTGCATTTATGCAATTAATGGTCTGTCTGTTCCATAGTAAGGCCCTGGCCTTGTTCTAACTGATGTTTCTTCTTTTTCCATCTTTTCCATAGATGAAGTCACTTTCATTTCTGTGCATTCCATATAGTGAGGTTCACATCTGTAGCACCCACTCACATGCATAGCATATTGTTAAAAATGCATTTGCAAGTCATCAGTCTTGCAAAATTCTATCATGTAATCTCCAGAGTCATTTCTATCATTAAGATCACATTTATTAATTACCAATCCTTCTGGTTCCAATTTTCACATTCTAATCACTTGTAACTATCAATCCATCGTGACTGTTACTTGATCAATTTCAGACTGTGGCAATTGGTCAAAAGCTTCAATTTCTTCATCCTTGACTTTTGAGATTTGTACATAAATTACTTGAGGGCTGTGAAAACCCTTAGAAAGTTATAACACCCTCAAAGAACACGAGGATTTTATTTCAAAGCTAAGGGAAACAAGTAATGAGGACACGAGAAAAATGTCTGGCCTCTCTTTCTACCTGAACATCAAACCAGTCCCAATATTCTGATGCTGCTCTCTCGCTATGGTGACCACCTCTCCTGGTTTGCCAGGGTCTCTCCCAAATATAGCACTGAAAGTCCCACACCTGCAGGAACTCCTCAGTCCCAGGCAAACCTAAGGCCATCACTTATTCCTACCCCCTTTTTCTACCCAAACAACTGTGACCCCTCAACTTGCCATCTCAGGTGAAAGGGTAATTACTATTTCCCTGTAACACAAGGCTAATGATTATACTTAGTGTGTTTTTATACTTTGATGTCTTTTACGAACTGAATTGCAATGTGGGGAAGGAATACTAAAAGACAAAAAACAAATAAATGTTTTCCATGGATACCTGAAGTTCTGTCTTGTTATTCTTTATGACTGATGGTTCTTAGTACATGCTCATTCATCTATTCACCCACCCATCCTGTGATCCATCCATGTATTGATATACTAACTCAGCTACTAACCAGAAAGGTCAATGATTTGAACCCACCAGCTGCTCTAAAGGAGAAAAGACCTGGTGATATGCTCCCATAGACGTCCCTAGGAAGCCTTATGAGACAGTTCTACTTGGTCCTATATGGTTGCTATGTCCATTAGCATTGACTAAACAAAAACAAGAGGAGGTTCCTGGAAATGTGCCAAGGGCTGTGAGGAACTCAGTCTCTGTATTATGCAGACCTGTGGTCTTGTTAGGAGCCCTGGTGGCAAAGTGGTTACGCATTGGGCTGCTAACCTCCAGGTCAGCAGTTCAAATCCATCTGCTGCTCGTGGGAGAACTACGAGGCTTTCTACTCTTGTAAAGAGTTACAGTCTCAGAAACCCACAAGGGCAGCTCTCCCCTGTCCTGCAGGGTGGCCGCGAATCAAAATCTTCTCTGTGGCAGTGAGATTGGAGGTTGGGGACAGTCTTCATGCACCTCCCAGGCAAATGGTATCAGGAGCATATCTGATGGAACATGAGAGGGGCGTCGGCCAACAGGACGGTGAGAGGCAAAGCAGCACAGGCAGGCCCCTGTCCGAAACGCTAGCCTGGCTACTCGCCTCTCCCCAGAAGCCTGACGCCATCTTCAACCCCAGATGGACCTTGAGAGCTCCTGCCATTCATTCATTTCATAAATATCAGTACTATACACGGCATTATGGCCAGCACCAAAGATAAATTGGGGGACAAAATCAGAGGCAGCCCTGCCCTCACGGAAGTCCCCAGACAAAAGGAGAAGCTGGCCATAGACAAGGTCATGCATCCCAGAGCCTGAATTCCTCCCAGTTCTGTCACAGATCGACAGTGTGGTGTGGGGAAGGACCGCACTGTGCACGTTCATACAGGCTACTCATCTGGACGAAAGTTCCAGGAATTAAA